CAGGTCCTTTTACAGCATTCCAAATCCTTCGGAATAATTTTATCGATAGCAGTGCACAGAAAATGTGGTACTTCGAAAGAACCGAAAGACGTATATCTACGTCGGGCAAATAAAACACTGGCTGAGCAAGACGTTTATATACTCCGGTGGCATTTAAAATCGTACTGTTGGCTTAGCATTAGAGTATAGTATTATTCAATTCAATGCATTGTTAATGTATGGATGGGGGCGCGATGAAAATTGTGATTGAATATTGGGTCGCAAATATTGAAACTTTGAGAAGCACTGGCATTGACGGTTTTTCACAACGTCCACATTTTCCCCTTACCTGGCCTCTATTGAAGATAACTGGTCATCAGAGGGTGCTTCTGCCACTTCGAAAAGTCAGGTACAGTTATTACGACAAGAGAGGTTATAAGCCAATTTATTTTTAAAAAATTAAAATATGAATTGCATGTTATTTAAACTATTAGATCCAAGCTACCAGATTCTTATTTAAGAAAATAGATACCATTACTTTTATTTTATTTTAAAATTCTTATACATTATTTTGCTCTAAAAATTAAAGTAAATTGATCAGTGGGCCGAAACCTCGGTCTAAATATCAAGTATCGAGGAACTAATATTTTTCGTCACAAACATAGTGTTTTCATAACAATGTTAGAAAAAATTTCTTTTTGACTCCAGTTTACATGGGAGACCGTTTCTAATAGACTGATTTATATTGACTAGTTCGGGAAACCATGAAAAAGCGCATAAATGTAAAATTTTCATATATTCGGCCTTTATTTAAACATGATAAAATTTTTTTAAAGGGATTTTTAAAAATTATTAAGAAAAATTTTTCGGCAAGAAATTTTGAATTTTTTTCAATTTTTCCCTTTTATAAAATTTTATTTAAAATTTTTCCTGTATATAGCTCGGGCCTCTGTACAGAGGCTCAACTATGATTTTTTAAAAAATTTATATTATTTTCAGAGTGACAAACATTTGAAATAATTATCGGCGTATTTTCTTAAAAATTTTTCCCCTTTTTTTTTCGTAAAACATGGATAAACCGACTTCCAAGTTATGCATTTCAAAATTCTAGTTGAGCTCTGTACAGAGATTAGCCATATACAGGCAAAAAATTAATATAGTAGAAGCATTTCTACAAAAAAAGAACATTTGGAAAAAAGGGTTTTTTTAAGTTTAATTTTTGTCAAAATATTGTACTTAAATAATTTTTTTTTGTAATACTATTCTAACCCAATTTTATATACATTGTCTAATCTAAGGGGGTTAAATATCATAAATATTTTCCATTTAACGCTTTTTAAAATCGGGTTCCGAACGTAGTCGGATACCTTAAAAATCATAGAGGGGTTATGAAGGAATATAAATACCCATAGGAAAATAATAGTTAAAATAACTTCAGCTTGTAGAATATTCTACAAGAAAAAACAGAGTCAATTAGAAAATATTTTCTTATTCAAACCATAGAAAGAATTTTTTGCACCTTATTCTTTTGATCCATACAGTAATATATATTGCATTTCTTCAACAAAACTCATATTAACAATTATCAAAATGTGTCTATGATTTGAAATAGTCCATTCAAGTAAAAGCTTGATATTTGGGAAAGGATATAACAGGTACATTTTTCTCTTTTTCATCGCTCTATGTTTTTCATTTTTTAAAAATTTCGTTTTAATCAGACATTTTACAACTTTGTTCATCACTGGTGCTCTAAGACAATTGTTTTAGAATATTATTATTAGCATTCTATTTGATTTTTCGTTATCTTCAGGGCTTCAAAAATTACAATAAAATTTGCTTTTCACAGTGTTTTATTTGATTTTGCACTTATATTTTAGAATTACTTTTCAAAATAACACTGAAAAATATTTTTCTGTGGAAAATCAGAAGTGTTTGAAAAGTGTGAAACTTTCATAAAAAAATTATTGGGGAGGGGGGCTCTTATATAATTCTTAAGTATTAATAGGCAGATAAATTATTCAAATGCAGAGTATCTGATTGATCTTAACAATTATATGGAACTTTTATTTTCATGTCTAACTATTCACTAATAAATACTACATCTCTATGGTTATCTTTTTTGCTAATAGTCAAAACTATTATATTAATTTATTCTCAATATCATATTTGGATGAACCGTCCTTTTTTGCAATGTTTTTTGTTCTAGAAATTAAAAAGCATTCAAGGCTAGATTCCGTAGAGAAGGATTAAAGAGTATATTTGTCCAAAATTCGGTCTTATGAACAAGATATTCTAAAATTGTCTTAATTAGTTAACATATAGTATATACTTTAAACTAATCATATTTTTTATGTATTTCAGAAGTTTGAATTCTTGTTCCAATTTGCCATTAAAATTGAGAAACCAACTTTAAATGACTTTTTCATCGTTTCCTGAAAAAGATTTTATCTCAATATATCATAAAAAAATCTAGACTTCTTTTTTTAATCTTTCACTCTGTGTACGGTATCTGAAAAAACGTAACTATCATTAAAAAATCAAAATAAAACAAGGGAATTCTTCCCATTGCGATATCATTCAGAGATCTTGTACCCAAACATCACTATCGACATTTACCACCAAAAGTACCCTGAATTAAAAGTAACTCCAGTAACCCCTCGAATATTATCGTTCTACTTACTAATATTTAATGTGAAATTTTCCTTAATGAATATTTAAACGACTTTTCTAAACCTACTTTTCACAGCATGTGATTATTTGAAAGTTTGAGTTTCCAGGCAGATGACATTAACTCCTTCCAGGATCTTTTGATTTCTGGATTATGGAACAAAAGTGTCAATTTTTTAATGCTTTTTTTCAATTATACATATCTTTTTGAACGTAATAATATCATTTTCATATAAAATTTGCTTAAAATTAATGTAAAAAAAAATCTATTTTAATAAATGAGTCATTTAACTGTAAACTTGGCTATCTGTATGGTACAAATCATTAGACTTTGGGAGTCCATTCACACTAACTATAAATATAAAGCTTAGATTCCTAGCTTTTATCTCAAATTACAAATTTTATTTACATCTGTTGCATTTCCATAACTGATTATAAAATTATTAGTCACGAGCTCGTTACCAAAGTGTCGTAAGTTTGAGTCCCAATAAAACAATGTAAGAGGCTTATACATGTTAAATTTGTCAAAGTCCTCCCCTTAGTGTGGCTTTTTAATTCGGAGAGGGTGTGTGCCAGCTCAGGTATTGTCTTCATCACTTGACCGTGGTTCAAAATTACGAGGATTGTCGCCAATAGTTCTCGTACTGCTTAATAATGCGACATTAATAAACACTCAATCTCGGTATGAATATAAATTGTGTACTGAAAAGCATTTTATTGTTCTTTATAGAGTTAACCATTTGTTGTGATTGACGAGTTTACCCGTCGTGGAGAAGTTGCAGGATTTTGTTTATTGACTAGTATACTCGTAATGCGTAAGAAGTAGTGCCCATTGGCCGGTGGGTCTTAGACCTGGAATAAGATGCAATAGAATTAATGTCAGCCACAAGTTTCCGACTAGGGCCTTTCGGCTACTGTGGCTGCCAAGTATATTCTAAAAAGTGTGTCTGTGTGTATTAAGTTCTATTAAAAGTATAACTTTTTTTTAAATATTGGATTTTATACAAAGAATATATCTGAAAATATTGCATCAAACTCTAATTCAATAAAATCAATTGATACGTAGGCTGTTCAATAAGTAATAGGACTAATTTTACTGCAGAAAAACCACTCATCGGAATGTTAATTTCTGTGGCATAAGAAAAGTTTGTTATAAGTATTAACAAAAGCTACCGAAAGATGGCGTGTACAGACTCGTATTCTTGAGTATCACGTGATCGAACTAAAGCGTGTTTGTGTGCGCTTACGAAATGCGCCCAGTTGTCGAAATGGAAGCAAAAATCTGCAAAAATCAGCATCGGAGACTTTTGATATGATACGATATGATTAATGACTGGAACAAGAAGACAACAATGTCTCAAAACGCTTTATCACAGCAGACAAAACTTGTCTGTAGTACTATGATCCAACCATAAAACAACAAAGCAGTGAATGGAAACATCCATCTTCAACTACTCTCAAGAAACAAAAACTGTGAAATCAGCTGGTAAAGTTATGACCATATTTTTTTTTATTATGAAGGAATTGTATATCAACACGCTGTCGAACCCGGTACTACCATAAACGACACGTACTACACGAATGTCCTGCGAACAATGGTACAGCACGTTAAAAGGAAACCTCCATTGCTTCGAAATGGCTTCATATTGCACCATAACAATGCCCGACCACATATTGCTCGTTGCGTACTGAATGTTTCCCAGCAGAACAACGTAGAGATTTTACCACACTCTCCATACATTCCTGATCTCACTCCATGCGATTTCTGGCTGTTCCTCAACTTAAGAAACCATTACGAAGCAAACGTTTTGCAAGCAATAAAGCATGTGTAAAGGCTGAGGAGGCGGGTTTGAAAGAGCTCTCACAAAACGGACTTTTACATGTTTTTAAGAAGTGGACAGAACTTTTGGATAAATGCATTACGTGTCACGGAATTTATTTTAAAAAACCCATGTAAATGATGACGATTAAAGCCATTCTGTTTTTGTTTTGTTTTTTATAATTTTAGTCTTATTACTTATTGAACAGCCCTCGTATAAATCATTCGTAAAAATGATATGTAACTTATGTTTTTATGTGATCAAATTTTTTAAAATGTATAAAAAGAAATGGAAATCATTGATTTCTAGCTATGCTAAAAAGGATCCAATTGTTGTTGTTGGGTGTCTTTTATCCTGGGAACATATGAAATACAAGTGAAGAAGAACAGAAAGCATACAATACAACAGAAGAATATACACATTTATTACAGATGATGATCCCAGCATTTAACAAAGATGGGTGCGCTGCTTTAATTTCGAGACGGAAATCCATTAAAGGTGAAAGACCGACTTCTTTCCCGAAAAATACAACCATGTCTTACTCGGGATTCGAACCCGAACCCACTCGATTACAAGCCGAGGGTCATAGCTATCATACTAAGGACCCAATTGAAATTTCTTATAAAGACACGGTTCAGTGTATTAGATTTAATTGATCTTTTCATTTAAATATTATGTATTTATTTATTCAGGTCTTACTCCCAGGAACTCTCACCGAGTATAGATAAAATTATTATGGTTATTTTTAGTACATTTTATTTTATATACACTAAACGAGATTTGTAATTTAGTGTCACATATCAATATTTTACGAGCAACAAATGCTAGTGCAATTCTAAAAATTATAAAATGTATATCTACAGAACTGAAATCCTTTCAATTGTTTTTGATAATATTAATTTTAAGACTACACAGTACCCTTTTTCAAAAAGAGTTTTTTGGAAACAGTAATAGTAAACATAATTTCTGTTTTATATTCAGATTATATTTTTAAGTTGATTCTGAAAGTAAAAAGTCAGTTGGACCAGCCATTATTTTACAATTTAAAAAAAAAATTACGAATTTTTGAAATTTCTTCAAATTTTTATAAAATGTTCAATTTTTAAAACTTTTTAATAAACTTTTAAATTATTTATGTTTTTTACATTAATGCAAACAAAGGTTAATATGGATTTGTAAATCTATTTCCTTGTTGATTTTTAATAATTATTTTTCTAGAAAAACCCGGAATAGACACAAAGATTTTTGAATTGTAAATTAAGCATTTTTTAAAAAAATAACTAGAGGTCTCAGCCCTAAATCTATATTAACTTTTATAGAACATACATTTGGAAGTATACACAAAAAATTTCAAGGCTCTATGGTGAACAGAAAAAAAGCCTTAGGGATTAGAGAAAACACTTATACCTTTAAAACTGAAAGTCTGAGAAAAACGCATTTAAAGTTTGTAAAGACATAAAACAAAAACTTATAATGCTTGTAAAGCTTTAATTTTTTTAATTTTTTATTTTCTAATGTATGTGTTCTACTTTAAAACACTATTTTAATTAAATATGAATGAAAATATTTTTTGAATTCAAAATATATTTTTGCATAATATTGATAGCATTTGTTATGACGACAGTTTATTGAACCTAAACGTAACCTTATATTTTCACAAAAGTTTTGAAACACAAAACATTTATGTACAAAATAATAATGATACTAACTTAAGCTAAGAATAGCCAGATTTACTCGTAAAATTGAATTTTTTTCAGTTTTAAATCGGGCAGTTTAGGAAGTTTTATATATATCTTGCTCTGTACGACTTTAAAATACTAAAATATAGTACTACAATATGTTAAGTATAATGTAGTTTGGTACATCAAGGAAACATTCAGTTTTATCTGCAATGCTTAAGTTCAGAATACTTGTATTCAGAAGTCTAATTATACAGTATCAGCAGAGGACTGATTTTTAGATATATCATTTTCAGTAGTATTCCGTCTCTTCGAAATATTGTTTCCAACAGCAACCTGAGAATGTTTTAAAAATGGCATTTTCTCAGCAGGAAAAAATTAATGATAAAGCTTCTAAGTTATATAAACTATTTTTTATAGCAAAATTGGCATTGAAATGAATTTTAATTAAATAATTATGAGAATTCAAAAAACTCAAAACATAATCAAGCAGAAGTGATTTTAGTAATACAAATTTGAACTTATAAACATTTCACAATAAAAGATTTGATTGTGCTCAAAAATATTTTAATTCATTGAATTTAATAGAGGAAAATATTTTAAAATAAAACCAAAACTAAAACTCAAGCTCAGAAAACTTCAAATATCTTAAAAAGTAATTTCTTAACAGATTTGAAATTAGGTGGCAAGCTTCTCAATGGTATGACCCACTAGAAAATGCAAAAAAATTCTTCGGTAAAAATGAAATTTGTAGGGTACTGTGTAGTCTTAGAGGTTAAATTTAATTTTTCTTAGTGTCCCGAATATTTAAAAAAAATTGCAATTTTAACTAACATTTCACAATTTTTATATGTATTGAAAGACTAATTGAATTCCTACTATAGACAGCGCAACACCTAGGCTATTGATGATAGATTTCGTACATATGAACCGCTGTCAAGACACTAAAGTGACACCCGAGTTGGCTATCCACTCTTCAATCTTTTATGTGGAATGTGCGATCCAAAACAGTGAAATACGTTAAACGCTTAAAACGAGAAACATCGATTTACAAGAAATAATACATACAACGGTCCCAACAAACTACTATTTATTTTCATGCATTTTTTTCTCTTAACACGAAACGAAAATCACATAACACGAAAATATTTCCCTTCTGGGAATGAACAAAATACGGAAATTACCAGAGATTTAAGAGGGTGTGAAATAAAAGAGAGTTCATTTCACATGTTTCGTAGAAAGGAAGCTCACTTGTCTTTGAAATACTCTCGGAATAGCCTTTAATAGGAGCCCAGTTTTGTTTATGTAAGCTGGTTTTTACCCTCTATCCCTACAAACACTCCCCATAAAAACATCTCATACCTCTACAGTTGACCTTGAAATTCGGTGACATCGCAGTATGAGTAAAAATCAGTGAGTGTGGTTCGCATTATTATTTTTTTTTATGCGAACACAGTGACAAAGAGCTCAGGGGGAAAGCAAATTGCTATTTGGCCTAAAAGGAAGATGGAGCTTCTAAAGACTATTGGTCAAAAACAGAAGACAAAAACGGCAATCTGTACAGATTTTGGTTTTGCTAACTCTTCTTTATCAACAATAATTAAAAACGAAAGCAAATTATGGAAATGTTTGAAAGATTTTCACTAAATACACGCGTATATATACATATCAATGAAAATAAAATGTACACTAATAAACTTAACTATGTTAAAATGGTTTTTTTTTTTCAATATCTTTTAACACGAAAAATATTTCAATTTCCTGAGTTTCGTGTTAAACGATTTTCTGTATAGAAGTCTTTTTAACGAAAAATGAAAGGATATAACTTATAATATTTTAAATTAAGAGTTTCTAAATTTTTAGAAATTCAAACATTTATCAAAAACTTGGTATAAAGAATTTATTTCAAACTAGTTCAGTTAGTATGGATAAAAAATTTGTAAGCCTTGCAATCAGAAATTTAAGAAATGATAACTCTTTAAATTAGTCAAAAATAGAAAACAAACTCTCTTTTTATTTTTCTAAATTTAGGAAGAAAAAAAACTTTTTGTGATAAAATCTCTTTACAGAAATTTTTATTTTTAAGAAGCAATTTTATATCGCTTTCTAAATTGGGGTTTTGAATAAATTAGAATATTTAATTGTATCGAATTTCATAAGTTACTTTAGATTATATTATAAAAGTTTATATTTTTATGCAAAATGTTATCAAAATTCATTAAATAAAATTATTTTTATGTAATCAAAATTTATTAATAAAAGATATTCTCCTAATTAGTTTTTTTCTAAGCAAATTTCAGTATATATTTATTTTACTGTTAGAACGGTTTGAAGCTCTTAAACTGAATATTTTTATTATATTTAGAGACGATTTTAGCAAAATTAAAGGATTTTTCTGGTGTGTTTTTTAACGTTTTTAATTCAACTTATATTATTAACCCTTAGCTTCCCATTTTTTTAAAAATTTCTATGAAAAAATTATATCAGATAGTTTTCAAGTAATAATAAAAGGGAAAAATATATATAAAAAATTAAGCTGTTTTAAATTGAATTTCAATCATTTTTTTGTTTGTTGCAGAAGTGCAACATTGCGCAGTAATGCTGTAAATTACAAAACTTTTTTTTATATGAGGATTTTATTTTATTCATCGTTATATATAAATTGCTTTAGCTTTACATATAATGAAAATTTTTAAAGCAGTTATTAATTTTGTTGTAACAAAGTCCTACTTTACACTTTTCGCACTCCAAATTCATAATTTTTCTTGGGAGCGTGTGATCTCCATGGAATTTTATTACTTCTTCATTCAATGAAATGTTCTTACTTTTCCATAAAAAATTCTTTGACAATGTTTTATTATTCTTAAAAATTAAATTTAAAAAAGGTTCTCTGACTGAAATATTTCTATCTAATTTATTATCATCATCTGATTTTTTTTTATATTCTAAATTGTATTATGTGAACCAATACTATTTTCACAGTCGCTATCCGAATCTTCATTAGATGACACACAATCAAGTAAAAATCAACAACATCATCAGAATATACAAGACCATCCTCACTTAATTCACTTAAGGGGACACAGTACTATTCAATTGACAAAAATCGGTCAAAAAATCAAATCTAATTTTTTTAGCCTAAATTATTTTTTATATTCATTTCTCTTTAACCTCACAAAATTTGAAATCTCTATACTTAAAAAACGCAGAATTATTATATTTTTTATGTTGGTTTTTATTCACATTCCTATGGCAAATCAAAACGGACTTATCTCAGAAAGATAAAATAACTAGTTTGTCTACATTTAAATTGCTAAGGCTTTTTTTCTATTGTGCCTAATGCTTTGATTTTTCTTACCTATTGCTAATGGTACATGTAACAAAAGTTGGTATGCATTTTTGAATCAAAACAATATTTAATTTTTTAAAAATAATTGAACTCAGAATTTATACTTTTTTTAAGGAATTTTTAATAAGCATTCATAAGAAGTATTGTACAAATGCCAATCATGTTATCGCAAAACCCATACCAACTTTTGTTATACATGGTTTGATGTACTTGCAAATCAAATTTCATGCGTGTACGTAAATTTTTGTAGGAGGAGTAGCATTTAAAAAAATCACTTCACAAATTTTTCCTTAAAAAATTAAATGGTTAGCTTTTTATGAAATTTTGAGCATAAAATATGTTTTACATAGTATACGCACACAGGAGGCAACCAAAAAAATTTCGAAAATCCTTAAATTAAAAATTTTAGTGTAAATCGTACCATGTCCCCTTAATTCGTCCAAATTATTCATATATCTATCAATTTCATCTTGGGTTAGTATAAGCTTTTTGGCCATGTCAAAATGGTAACCTAAGACCAATGTTGCAGACCTGCAACATATAATTAAAATTAAATTTCTTTCAAACTTTTCCCATT